CAAACTCGGATAGAAAGTAGGCCTCTATGAACCGAACCACCCTACCTAAGTAAATTTTTATAGATAGATTAGAGAGGTCGCAGTGGCCACTTACCTCTTTTATTTAGCTAACCAGGAGAGGGAAATTAAAGCTATGTAGTAGCACGATCCTCGTATAAATGTGGTCCAACGGTTAAGACCATGTGCTTGTGACTTCCGATTGGAGCGAGGGGGGACGGGTTCGAATCTCGTCTGTGGTCAATTTTTGAAATTATTTTTTTTGTTGTTTATTTTACATTATATTATTTTTTTATGTGTTTTTCGTTATTCTGGAGGGTCCTGCATGTAGGAAATAATTTTTTTTTATTGGGAAAATGGGAAAAACTTGAAAAATCCAGGAAAATCTGTTTATTTGCATTTTTAAGACTTCTTTTGCAACATTTTGGAAATTCTAGCATGCATGAATGTTTTCTGTTTGTGAAATCCAGCAAAGAAAGCGTAATGGAATAATAAAATAAAAGGAATAAAAAAATAAATGGTTTGAGAAAGGTTCAAATTTCAAGAACCCCTAGCTCCCTTTAATATCAAGATATAATTTTCAAACTCGGACCCTAAGTAGGGGTCTATGGTCCAAATAAGGCTGCGGAAGAGAATTTTTATAGGCCAATTAGGGGGGTCACAGTGTTCCCCTAAAAGTATATTGCGAAGATGAGAGGAGAGAGCTTTTGAAGCGAAACTGTGGTAGGCTTCACGTATCACCGTGGAATGAAAGGTAGGCTACCAGACAAGCAAGTTCGCTGCTGGAGGGAGGGGTCCTAGGTTCGAATCCCAGGGACGGAGAAATTTTCAAAAAATTTTCTTTTTTTTTTGTTTATTTTAAATTATATTATTTTTTTTATGTGTTTTTCGATATTTTGGAGGGTCCTGCATGTAGGAAATAATTCTTTTTATTGGGAAAATGGGAAAAATCCAGGAAAATCAGTTTATTTGCTCTTTTTCGACTTCTTTTGTAACATTTTGGAAATTCTAGCATGCATGAATGTTTTCTGTTTGTGAAATCCAGCAAAGAAAGCGTAATGGAATAATAAAAAAGAAGAATAAAAAAATAAAATGGCTCGAGAAAGGTTCAAATTTCAAAACCCCCCTAGCTCCCTTTAATATCAAGTTATAATTTTCAAACTCGGACCCTAAGTAGGGGTCTATGGTCCAAACAAGGTTGCCGAAGAGAATTTTCATAGGCCAATTAGGGGGTTGACAGTGGGCCCCTAAAGGTATACTGCGAAGATGAGAGGGGAGAGCTTTTGAAGCGAAACTGTGGTAGGCTTCACGTATCACCGCGGACTGGAGGGTAGGCCACCAGACAAGCGAGTTCGCTGCAGGAGGGAGGGGTCCTGGGTTCGAATCCCAGGGACATACNTAACTTACTACATTCAACAAAGGGGTTAAGTTCTAAAATTAAATCTTTATCTTTTTGTTTCGGTTTAACATATTGATTTTCATAATACCATCTCACACATTCAGTTATAAAATTTGATATTAGAACGTAACCAAAATGAAACTAGTAAAATTCTGTAATCCTAAAACAAACCCCTAAAAACAAATTCCTCTAAAATATCCCCCTAAATTTAGGGGGAAAACCCCTAATCTGGCAAAACTGTCAGTGCCCTTCCAACCAGGCTATCCCGGCTCTTGCTTTCTAATATTGTATTCATTTAGCCAAATCAAAGCATTTCAATACAATACAATAATGTGAGGAGCACCAAAAAAATTAAAACTAAAAATGAACTATTTAAGCAAAAAATGCAAATTAAAACAATCAGGCAAAAATAGAAAATGCTAATTAAGAAAATACAAAATAAAACATAAAAAGTAACTTACAAAGTTGGTTTCGAATGTGCTTACACGCAATGGTAACTCCTGGATTAGTACCCTCAGAAGTATAGATTTGTTTTGAGATCTTGGAGGACTTTGTGACTCCCAGCGATTTAACGTGCACCAGTAACCATTTAAAACACAGGGATATGTTATGATTCATCCTCCCAGTACATGTAATGAGCATTTTATTTTTTTATTTAACATGCCATTTTATTTTTTTATTCTTTTTTTTTATTATTCCATTATGCTTTCTTTGCTAGATTTCACACACAGAAAACACCTCATGCATGCTAGAAAATCCAAAATGTTACAAAAGAAGTAAAAAAAGAGCAAATAAACTGATTTTCCTGGATTTTTCCAGTTTTTTTCTCATTTTCCCAATAAAAAAAATTATTTTCTACATGCAGGAACCTCCAGAATATCGAAAAACACATTAAAAAATAATAGAATTTAAAATAAACAAAAAAAAAGAAAGGAAATTTTTGGAAACTTTGTCCGTCCCTGGGATTCGAACCCAGGTTCCCTCCCTCCAGCTGCGTACTTGCAAGTCTCGTGGCCTACCATCCAGTCCACGGTGATACGTGAAGCCTACCACAGTTTCGTTTCAAAAGCTCGCTCCTCTCATCTTCGCAACATACATTTAGGGGCCCACTGAGACCCCCCTAATTGGCCTATAAAAATTTTCTTCGGCAGCCATGTTTGGACCATAGACCCCCACTTAAGGTCGGAGTTTGAAAATTATACCTTGACATAAAAGGGAGCTAGGGGGTCTCGAAATTTGAACCTTACTCGCGCCATTTTATTTTTTTATTCTTTTCTTTTTATTATTCCATTACGCTTTCTTTGCTGGATTTCACACACAGAAAACACCCCATGCATGCTAGAATATCCAAGATGTTACAAAAGAAGTCGAAAAAAAGCAAATAAACTGATTTTCCTGGATTTTTTCTAGTTTCTTCCCATTCCCCCCCCCCCCAAAAAAAAAATATTTCCTACATGCAGGACCCTCCAGAATATCGAAAAACAAATTTAAAAAATAATATAATTTAAAATAAACAAAAAAAAACGAAAATTTTTTGAAAATTCAAATAACTCTTAAAAATTGGAAAAATCGTGGAAAATTAGATTACTTATATTATTTTTTTTAACTTGCTTTACAATCCTTTCACGATAGTTTAGCATACCAAAGGTGTTCTATGTATAAAATCAATTGTCTTACTTTGTAGAAGAACGCAAAATGGAATAAAAAAATAAAATAAAATAAAATGGCGGGGAAAAAGGCTCAAATTTCAAAAGCGCCTAACCCGCTTGAATATTAAGCTATAATTTTCAAACTCGGACCGAAAGTAGGCCTCTATGAACCGAACCACCCTACCTAAGTAAATTTTTATAGATAGATTAGGGAGGTCGCAGTGACCCCTTACCTCTTTTGTTTAGCTAACCAGGAGAGGGTAATTAAAGCTATGTAGTAGCACGATCCTCGTATAAATGTGGTTCAACGGCAAAGACCATGTGCTTGTGACTTACGATTGGATCGAGGGGGGACGGGTTCGAATCTCGTCTGTGGTCAATTTTTAAAATTATTTTTGTTGTTGTTTATTTTACATTATATTATTTTTTATGTATTTTTCGATATTCTGGAGGGTCCTGCATGTAGGAAATAATTTTTTTTATTGGGAAAATGGGAAAAAACTGGAAAAATCCTGGAAAATCAGTTTATTTGATCTTTTCCGACTTCTTTTGTAACATTTTGGATATTCTAAAGGTATACTGCGAAGATGAGAGGAGAGAGCTTTTGAAGCGAAACTGTGGTAGGCTTCACGTATCACCGTGGAATGGAAGGTAGGCTACCAGACAAGCAAGTTCGCTGCTGGCGGGAGGGGTCCTAGGTTCGAATCCCAGGGACGGGAAATTTTCTTTTTTTTCTGTTTATTTTAAATTATATTATTTTTTTACGTGTTTTTCGACATTCTGGAGGGTCCTGCATGTAGGAAATAATTTTTTTTTATTAGGAAAATGGGAAATATCCAGGAAAATCAGTTTATCTGCTCTTTTTCGACACCTTTTGTAACATTTTGGATATTCTAGCATGCATGGGGTGTTTTCTGTGTGTGAAATCCAGCAAAGAAAACGTAAAGGAATAATTAAAAAAAAGAATAATAAAATAAAATTTCTCGATAAGGTTCAAATTTTAAGACCCCCTAGCTCCCTTTTATATCAAGGTATAATTTTTAAACTCGGACCCTAAGTAGGGGTCTATGGTCCAAACAAGGCTGCCAAAGAGAATTTTTACAGGCCAATTAGGGGGGTCACAGTGAGCCCCTAAAGGTATATTGCGAAGATGAGAGGTGAGAGCTTTTGAAGCGAAACTGTGGTTAATAAATGCTGCGAATAATTATTTTCATGAAAAAGATTTTTATTTTTAATTCTCATCGGAAAATTTCAAAAATTTACGGTTGCATGGCTTATATTTTGTTTAAAAAAATGTGCCGTTAATGTGCATTTTTAATTATAACGATTTTAAAACAATAATAGTAAACTTATAAAATTCAAAGGGTTTTAGTTTTGAACTCGTTCTGTTAAATCAAATGTTTAAATGTAAATAAATGCTAATACAAGCATCTATACTTCAGTTATAATAGAAACAGACGCTTCAAACTAATAACTATGGTTGAATAAGCAAATATCCTTCCTTTGGTTTTAATTAACCCAAGTTCTGAAAACCGAAACTAAACAAAACCGAAACTAGTATATAATTGCTCGTAATCTGAATAATCTCTGGTTTTAAGACTTTAATAAACAAACAAATAAATTATGAGTAATGAATAGACATCTTTAAGCAATATACAAAATAATATACTGGTTTACGGATATGAAAACTTTTTAGAATTTAAATTAAATTGCTTTTTAATGATCAACACTGATTACGTGCAATGTTAAGGTACGGCGAGGATGTCAGAAAATAATCCCTAGGACGACGCGAACGCCACTTTTTGAGCGTAAAACTGGTTTGTCAAAAGCGTGTCACTGGCAATACTGACCCGAAGTAGTGCAGCTTCCCCTACTTCTCTGAAATGTGACTAGTTCTAAGCACAATCACTAGAGGACGCCGCATTATGATTATAAAATTTTCTTTCAGAGCTGTAAGCTAATCTTATTAATACCAGTAATATCAACTTCTACGCAATGAAATTTTAAACCAAAACTATCCATTCTAATTGAGTAAATAACCATCTATCGAATATGATGAAGAACCTCAGAGCTCAAATAAATCTTGCTAGGCTAAAGTAAGCCTTACCTATTGAACGCAGTGAAAACGTATTGAACGTACGAACGTATTGAAAACGAAAGCAGAGAGCACGCCGCACTTTACTATACTCATACTCTAATTGAGTATGAAAAACTATCGTCTCAAAAAATGGATGCATTTTATCACTGCCTAATAGCAGCTCTTAACGAATGTCAAAAGACTGGCGTGGCTTTAACAAAAGATATAGGCAAAGTGGATTGCAATATCGATATGAACTTTGATCTACCGGTCAATCGAATTACTTTTTTGTATAAGTTCGGTACTTTTAACATACATTTTTTCAAAAAGTGTTTTCTAGATTTTGCATTAAATTGCTCAGAAGTTTCAATAGATCTTGAGCGAATTCTTTCATCTAAATTAGTTTGTTCTCTGAACAATGGACCCGGGACTGATATCATTGGTTTACAGTTTGCATTTAAGGAAATTGGAAAAACTTTCAGTCCCAAGACCATCTTTAAAATTATTAATAAATACGGAGCATGGAGGAATACAATGAATTCCTTGATAGAATCTAAAGGAAATGTAATTCCTATTGTAGGCAATTTTAAGCTATTGCAATGCAACATTATTGAGTTTTTGTCTTCAAAAGCAGAAAACTGTTTGAAATCTGCTGATGTTGTCCTCATGGATCATGCCTTTTCTTCTCCTAATGCTCAAAGAGTAAACATTTTGGAGGTTCTAAAAGTAAGCAATGAAGTGTAATATTTAAGGACTATAAGGCAAAAGTGTAATAAAGGGTTTCTTTCTTTACTCTTAACAATAAGTTCCTAAAAATTCAGCTAAATTTATGAATAATTATTTGCTGATTTGTTCTTATTTCAAGTCTATTGGTTTTCTAAGGTAAATGGTAAGAGGGGATTTCTGTGTTGTGATCTGGGGCAAAATTATAGCCAAATCTGGGCAACTTCCCGGCAGTAGCCCACGAGAAGCTAAAAGAAACATCAAAGAAAGGGACCAACTTGAAATGTATAGCTCATATTCACCTCCCAGACAATCATGTACATTTTTGTATTAAAAAAAAATGCAAGTTTAAAATCTATTTGGCACCTTGGAGATAGTTGGTGCAACAGATCCCACTACAAAAATATCCCCGGTAAAATTGTTTCTAACAAATGATCCGATCAATTTAATTTTTTAAATCTGTTTTTTGTCTTCAATTTTAAATTTCTGTTGTAGTAATGACACAAATCATGAAGGTAGGTAAACATGGTTTTGAGGCACAATGAAAACTTTTGAGCATGATTGATATAAAAATAAATATATTTAAACTCTAATACCATTTATGCACTAAAAATATACTAATTATATACATTACATTTATTAATTTCAAATTAAAAATGCTTTTCTCACTTATATTTACATATAGCTCATTAAGAATTGACTAATAATAGCAGTAGTTTTTTTTAGAACAGTAGTTTTAAGAAAAATGTTCTTTGTATTTTGAAATTTGCAATTCTGCTAAAAAGATACCAAAAAGAACAGGTGGGAAAATTTCCGTTATGATCTCATATAGGAGTAAAGTATTATTTATACAATACTGCATAATCTCATATGTATGTACTTGAGGCTGTGATAATAAATCACTGATATCAAATCGCATTAATAATTTTTTTTTATAAAGGTTAATAAATTAAGCAAGATTTTTTTCTCTTCTAGAACTTAAATGTAGATAAGAATGATAAAATTATAATATTTTATAGCTCTTTTCATATTTTAATGTGCTCATCATATTTGAATGTGCAGCAGTATGTAAAATAATTTACTGTTTCACTATCAGTAAATATATTTATTTCAATTAAACCCATTTAATTTTATACGTATTTTTTTTTTCAATATAAGTAATTTTAAATCTTATTAAATATGTAGTTAATATATATGCTTGCAATTAAAGACTTGTTCTGCCAAGAATAATTTAATTTAAAAATGCTTTCTGAGCTAAATTAATTTACTTTTTATTTGACAAATCAATTGTCTGTCTTTACAATTCATTAAGGATTTGAGTTTGATAGGAAAAAGTAAATGACTCTATTTATTTAGTAATTAATTTGCCTCATTTAAATAGCAATATTAACCTTTTTTTATTAGTGGCATTAAAAAGTTAAGTTGCAGTATTGTTGTTAAATAATATCAGGTATTTATTTATTTTATCAGAGTTTTGATCGTGAAATGAGAAAAGAATTTTTAAAGAAATATCTGATTGAAATTTTTAAAAAAGATCCAATGCTTATGTAGATATATTTTTAAATAAAACACAATTTTGATCAACTCTGATAAAATGCCTCAATGTTTCGCCCAGAGCCGCTTAAGCCCTAAACACACCCCTGTTAAGACTTTTAAATTTTGGAATGGACATAATTGTAGATTTTTATTTGCAATTATGAATTTACTGTAAGTATAATTATATGTATTATAGAATTACTAATAGTTATCCCAGTAGCAGGAAACACCCCCTCCCCTCTTAGCATAGCTAAAAGCAATGCAGATTTTCATAGCATCTGCAGATAATTTTTCTGATCCAATTTATTTTAAAAATTATCTTAGCATCTGCAAATTTTTCATCTTAATTAAAAATGAAAAGAAAAACAAAGCTACAAAATTAGACAGTGGAGGAACAGAGAAATCAATTTTAAACCCCGAACTTACTCAATTACTATTTGTTTTAGTTCCTTAACAAAAATTGTTTTATAATCTGCAGCAGGGTAGGCAAGATTTTGCCNTAATTAAAAATGAACAGAAAAACAAAGCTACAAAATTAGACAGTGGAGGAACAGAGAAATCAATTTTAAACCCCGAACTTACTCAATTACTATTTGTTTTAGTTCCTTAACGAAAATTGTTTTATAATCTGCAGATATATAAGTTAAAAAAAAATTTTTTTTTTTTTTCAAAAATTTCAAATAAGACTCTTTAATTAAATGGAATTTTGAAAAAATAATGAACCTATTTTATCGTTATTATGCTGCAAATATGCTTTATATTGCATTTTTATTATGTTCCAGGAAAAATTTGAAAAACAAATTCTTAATTTTTGTAAACTCTAGTTGCTTGTTTAAAGACTTTACTGAGACATTCTCCATTTTTTAAATCTCAATTATTCCATTTAATTAAAAGTGTGCATAAGATGTTACTAAAAATTTGTTATTTTCACTAGCAATTTTTTTGTCAACAATTTTATGTCTTATATGTGCACATTTTACAGTACATATTTTCCTGATTTTTTTAATTTTTTTTTGAATAATCGTCTCAATCTGTCCGGGTTAGGGTCTCAGACAACTTTGAATTTCTGGAGATTGTTTTGCAGATTGACTTCGTAAATCTTGCTACTGGGGTTATCATAGCATTATTTTTGGAAATTTTTTTTACTACATATTATGTAATAATTTCTTTTTGTTGAAGCTTTTTAATGCTTTGATTTTCTTGCAGATCATTTTACGAATTCTTAAACCAGGAGCTTATGTACTTTTTATTGACACTAATAACAAGGTCTTTTATTTTGAGTTACTTAACTCATTTGGAACGTACATTTATGGACCTAAATTAGTTCAAGTTGATGATTTGCCTTATAATGAAATAATTGCACAACAGATTGGGGAAAAGCCCGTGCTTTCTGGTAAAGCTTATTATGGAATTTGGCAAAAGAATACACCACAGAACATGATGGCAGATGGCGTGTCTGATTTCGTGAATGTAATACAAGCAATGGGTGAAAAAGAAAAGGGTACATCATTAGAGAATATGTCTGCTAAATCTAGTCCCGTAATAGTACAACCAGAAAATAAAACAAGTGACCATCCATCATTAGTGAATGTAATGCCAGTTGTACGAAATTTAGGAGAAAGTGTTAGTTTTAAAAGTGCTACTGCATCACAGCGGGATACACCACTAGTGAATTTGATACCAGCAATGCAAAACTTGTCTGCATCAGGCATATTGATGAGACCAGGTTATGAATCTGAAAGAAAAAGTGCTATTTGTAGTTTTGCTTCTGAAACTAACTGTACTGTCAGTCAATATGGGGATATAATTACTGAACAGAACAAAGCTGACACCGAAACCGACTGTACTGAAGACTTGAAAACCTTATTATTTTCTTTAAATTGTTTAGTCTCGAAATTGGAGAATTTTCTAAGTTCGGAAATTAATTCTAAGAATCCCAATTCCATAAAATGTAGTATACATAAGCCTACTTGTAGATGTTGCAATCAATGCTTTAATTGTTATCATTGCTGCATCAATAAAAAACCATGCTTCCAATGCTGTGGACATGGTCTCAATAAAAATGTTCCCCCAAATACTAATCAAAGCTGCAATTGCCATGCCTGGTCAGATGCATAGGATATTTGGGAGGAGGGAAAAAAAACAAGTTATTTATAGCTTTTTAAGCAGGGATGCAAAAAAAAAAAAAAACCATCTGCTGAGTAAAACCAACACCTCCTAGAAGTAGGAAGGCCTCAGCACGGATCAATTTAGTAGTCTGATGCGACGAAGTTAACTGCGCAGTTGATGAAAAATAAGAAAGATGTCATTACATTCGGGGTACTAAGCTGCACAGTGGTTGAAAATACGAAATATGTCATTACATTTGGACTATAAAGGATATTTATGGTAACCTGTGCAGAGGCCAACTCTTTTCTAGGAGGTGTTGGTAAAACCCACCCTAAAGTGGGTTTTTCTAAAATTGATTTCTTTTTTATCCTCTGCTGCATGAAAGAGCTATTCTATTGAAATATATATGTAGTCTAGCCTTAAAAAATGAACCTATGGTGAAAAAACTGTGTTTGGAGACTGGAGAGTCACCTTGCTGAATAGATTTGACTATCTGGCCATTGATTAGACAGTGCCTTTGATTCACTTTCTATGCACACACACACAAAAAAAATTCCTCAAATATTTTTTAAGATTAAAATATAAATAAAAAGTAATCCTGTGTTAAAATAAGTTTCAAATGTGTGGGTGTATGTGAGCACACATAACATTTTGTATCGTGATGTCAGAAGAAACTTTTTTCGGACAATTTATTTGTATTAATTACACTTTATTTACCTTTGTGTTAAGTCAATTCATAAAATTAAACTTAATTATTAATATTAAAATAAGCTTTTTTTAAAATAAGATACTTATCCCTGTCGTCTCTTTTGAAAAAAAAAAAAACAATAAAAAACCCAGAAAAGCCCTATAAAACCCACCCTGATTTTTTGCAACCCTGTTTTTAAGGGAGGATTTCAGTATCAGTAGCTGCACCAAACTGAGAATTAACAGATTTTTTTTGTAAAAGTACATTATAATGACAAAATAGCAGATGCAATTGCTGTTTTAGTGAGTTTATTGCTATTAACAAAATGCTAAAGAAAACAATAAAAAAATGAAGTGAAATAGCTTTTAAGAGCCTTCTGTATTGATTTCAATATTGGTAAATAATGGATTTCAATAATGGTAGATAAGTGGCTAACAAAGGGCTCATGTATTTGAATTGTGTAGCAGGATTCCTAAAAATAATTTTTCTTTTCTTTTGTAAATTAGAACTTAACTTGGCCATTGGTTTTCCACATGTTTGTTTTATTGCTATAAAGGATTTGAAAGCTGAATTAAAGAAATAAGGTGAAATAATTTTGTTTTGTTGATTTTCTGTATTGATACCAGAAAGAAATTAAAATGTCTTCTATTTAAACATTTTCAGTATAACATTGCTTAAGAAGTGCAGAAAAAGTGTATTTTCCTCCTAAAAGATTTCACTCTAATAGCTGAAGTCTAGCAATTTTTATTTTGTCATAAAGATACAATATTTTAAGAACATTTTTTTTACCCGAAAGTAGAAGCAAGTAATTTAAATTTTCATCTCTAAAATGTTTTCATGAATAAAATTATATTTAGTGTTTAGACATATGGACAGATTAAAATTTTTTTTTAATAATTGCTTATTCCAGAAATCATTTAGCCTTTAACATTATTTTTACCCCTCTAGTCTTAATTTTTTGGGTATCCCAGGATGTTGTTGAGAAAAGTGTTGACCATGTCAATTTTATTGAGTCAAATAACATTGATATATTCTTTGGCAACATTTTTTTAAAAAATTATATGTAGAATATCAAAACTAAGATTTTAACTATGTTCAGTCAAAACAATTATTGAAGGTTTGCATTTTTTCCATTCATCTTTTATATGATTTATCAGATTTTGTAAGCTATAACATTTTTAAAGTCTATCTAAATACCAAAAAAAAAGAAATTCAATTAAAGGTCATTTATTTTTTTAGCGGGAAATAAAGAATTTGAGATAATTGATTTTCATTATTGAACTTCCATTTGATTGATAAACTTACTATGTATCATTATTTAATCTTTTATATAATTAGTTTTTAGGTAATTATTGAGCTATAACAGTATTATATGTTTTGGATTTTTTTACCCTTTAATTAAACAATTAATAAGAGCTTATCTACCTAACAATTTAACTTTTTTAGTACGAAAAAAAATATTTTTATAGCCCAATATATTTATAAAAGGTTAAATATTTTTTATATCATTACCATTTTTGTTTCTATCTATATATCTGCGTGTATATGTTCATGTAATTTTTCGTGTGATAAATTCACTAAAGTATAAATTGAAAATAAAATATCTATTTTTTTGACCTTTGTGTATTATTTGTTGAACTGTTGCATTGTAATAAAAATTGGGAGTGATTAATCAAAAACCTGAGAATATACTTAAAATAGTAGTTCCAAGTTCTTTGTCAATATTTTCCTACTTTGTAAGAGCACCATCACCAACATCGTGAGACAAAAAAAAAAAAAAAATTTTTTTTTTAAGTGTTCAAACTGCATCTTGGTGTGTCACCTTTTTTAATTCAATTTCCATTTCTTTGTCATCTTCCCTGCTTTCAGATTCTACATTCTCTTTCTGTGCACTATCGCAGGTTCTTACTTCTACATCATAAAACACATATTCTGTAAAATTTCCATCAAGAGGATTACGAATTTTTCTAACGCTATAGTTGTTTGTTAAATCAAAGCTAAAAATTTGTTAGATTTGCATTTCTGCATCCTTTTTGTTGGGACATAAAAATATTCGTGAAATCGAAGAATTCGTTACATCAAAGTACGTTAAATTGACAGTATTAAACACTGAAAAGGAGGTTATTAATTTAATTAGTGCCACAGGTTTTTTTTTAAACAGGTTCTTTATTTTTTAATGATAAAAAAGACTGTGTTTATCACAGTTGCTTTTGTACCTTAATTTTAGGCTTGTAAATATTTTCATAGAAATTTATCCATTTATTGAACATATAATAATTAAAAACTGCTTATTATGCCATATTAGGAAAATTTCTTTTGAAATTATATATACTTATATATACATTATATTATATATATAAGAAATGTATTTAAAATATTAAAATACATGTGGTTTAGAACATAATATTTTAAAGCTAAGAATTGGTAGTATTAAAAAAATAAAAAATCTTTGTTCATTGATTATTTTATAAAGATGCATATATAATAAAAATTGCTTTAAAATTTTCATTTTCTTAATTGGCATTCTGAAAAAGAATTAAAAGATTTTTAAAACAGGAAGTGATGTGATGTAAGTTAACTATAATTGAAATTTATTAATAAAACAAAATTTATAATTTTAAAATTAGGAATATAAATAAAAGAAGTGTAAAAATCACATTAAAATTGGTTGATAATTATCAGATTTCTTTATCACTTAGTAAGCAAAATAAGAGCTATGCTTTCGACTTTTTCGGGCAATGGTCCACGAGAAACTATAAATATATTGATTACTTGGGTGCCTTGAGAATTGTAGTTGCCATAAACAGGTGCAAAAGGAAATATCCCGAAAATTCTTAACTTTGTCATTAAAAAAAAAAAAAAATCGATGAACCCGGATAAAAAAAAAACTTTTTTTTCCTCATTATTTCGTTATTTAATTTTAATTATTTTGCATATAAGTAAACATTAAATCTTTCATTATAAACTTGTTATACTCAAATTTTAGAACAGAAAAAATCATTGAGGATATTAATGTTTAGAAATGTAGTTAATATGTTAAGAATTGTACTTAGTAATAATTCAACAAAAATGTAATACTAATTTTTGTACCTATAGATTTTTTAACACTTGTATTTAAAAATCACTTTTTATAAAGCTATTTAGGGTTAAAAGATGAAAAAATGCAATAGCGGATTAATTTTATAAGGTCGATTAAGGTATGTGTAAATATAAAAATAATTTTTAATTCTGGTTTCTTAAAGCTTATTTTGTGTTAAAAAAGAATCTGCTCACAATATTCATACTATTTTTTATAACACGTTCGTGCCTTAATATTATCATTAAAGGTAAATTGAACGCATAAAAGAAAAAGCACAAAACTAAATCTTTTTATTAATACAAATAAATTTTATACTAAGAAAATTATTATTCAGTTCTTATTTTACATAATGTGCTACTCCTTTTTCTTCCGTCCAAAGTACATATCTTGAAGATGAATAAGTAGTAAAATATTAAAAAACCTACAAAACTGCCAATTCAGTTATTTCTTAAGAGATAATATTTATCAGCCTTGAACTACGAATCGAAACCGAACTTCCTTTTTTTTTCTACACAAATATTCGACAGAAAAACGGAACAACTACTACGAACAATATTCTTTTCCGCCCGTTTTTTTTCAGTTAATTTTGCGACAGTTTACTTTTACGTTACACGAACTATTACTTATTTTAAAGTTACATACTTAGAATTTTATTAGATTAAAAATTAGCAGAGAATTCAAGCGGTATCAACATATTCACGACAAACGATTTTGACTGCCTACGTTTGCTGAATTTAAGCATCTACGGAATAACCTTATAATTTCATAAAGGTTACAAACGAGCCTCGAACCCTGTACTTCTCCCAACAAATCAGATATCATTTATATGATGATTGATGTAAATAAACAACTCAAATGATGCAATCGCTGTCGAACATGTTTCCGCTTTATCTCTAATCATAGAGCCTTTATTATTTTTAGCCATGGTAAAATCAAATTTTATATTGAATGTTCATGAAACGCTGTTTTATCTGAAATAATGCTCTCTGATTTATGGTTAATATAAAATGACTCTTTCTTTTTCCGAAAAACAAATATATTTAATAATGAACTGGTACGATGATACGAATGTATGATTATGATTTCTTAGTCATTAAAAACTAAATATGAGATCATAGAAGATAAGTGATAAATGTATTCATCAATAAAGGCACGATTATTTGTGGGAAAAAATACATTCTTCAATTGAAGTATTTATTCAACATTCCATATTGTGCTGAATTAAAAAGTGCCATGAACATTTTTTTTTTTCTATTTCAGTTAAAGATTTGAATTAAATTCCTAAGTTGCTCAAGATATAAATTTATCTGCTGAATCACATGCGAGTCAAAATTATAGATTCGCTTAAAAGCCTCATATATTATTAATTGTTAATTAGAGCCTGCACGTAGCCATGAATAAATATTATTTGTAATTATATTCCATAGCCAAATATACTTTTAACTCCCCCAATGCCATTTGGAAAAAGCAAGAAATCTTCAGGAAAGGTTTTTCCTGTATGTGTTACTACCATGGATGCTGAACTTGAATTTCATTTAGATTTAAAAGCAACAGGAAGAGATTTGTTCGATTTAGTTTGCCGAACGATTGGATTAAGAGAGGTTTGGTATTTCGGCTTACAATACATTGACAGTGAAGGATTTGTGGCATGGTTAAAATTAGATAAAAAAGTGAGAGCTCAAGAAATTCCCAAGAAAATGCCCGTTAATTTTCTATTTTTGGCTAAGTTCTATCCAGAAGACATGGCAGAAGAATTATTGCAGGAAATCACCCAGCATCTCTTTTTCTTGCAAGTTAAACAAGCTGTTTTGAATATGGACATTTATTGTCAACCCGAAGCATCTGTACTGCTGGCATCCTACGCGGTACAAGCCAAGTACGGAGATTACGACGAAGCTTCTTACAAACCGGGAATACTAATTAACGAGGATCTCCTTCCTCAAAGAGTTATCAACAAATACGAGATGACTCCGGAAATGTGGGAAGAGCGTATTAAATCCTTGTATGCAGATCACAGGGGTACAGCTCGTGATGAGGCAGAATTAGAATATTTAAAAATAGCGCAAGATCTCGATATGTGTGGTGTCACCTTTTTTCCTATTTGTAACAAAGAAAGTGAGTTATGGATAGGAGTTACGGCCCTGGGCTTAAATATTTACGAGAAAGCAAACAAACTATCACCTAAGTCAACATTTCCATGGAGTGAAATTCGAAATATTTCGTTTGATAATAAAAAATTTACGTTAAAGTCAGCTGATAAAAGCATGCCGTCATTTCAATTTTATGCTTCTAAAACTCGAATAAATAAGTTGATACTCGATCTTTGTATTGGCAATCATTACCTTTTTATGTGCCGTCGTAAACCCGACTCGATGGAAATTCAACAAATGAAAGCTCAAGCGAAGGAGGAGAGGGACCGTAGACAAATCGAAAGAAATAAACTTGCTCTTGAAAAGCAACTGAGAGAGGAAGTCGAAAAAGAGAAAGCAGATTTGCAACAACGAATGATCCATGTGCAAGAAGAAGCTAGGGTAGCTCTTGAAGCACTGAGAAGGTCTGAAGAGACTGCCGAATTACTGGCCGAAAAAGCTCGGATAGTCGAAGAAGAAGCTATGTTGCTAACGCGGAAAGCTTCAGATCCTAAAGCTGAAATACGTCGCATTAAATTCAGTGCCATAAAAACAGAAGAAGAGAAAAAGTTGATGGAGATAAAAGTGCATGAAGCTGAACTTCTAGTTACTAAAATGGTGCAAGAATCAGAACACAAAGCCCAAGAAGCAGAAAAATTAAAAGTAGAGCTTATTAAAGCTCAATTGTCAGAAAAAAATGCCAAAGAAAAACTACAAGAAATATCCATGGTTAACTATTCTAGACCTTATTTGCCAAATATGCTTGATACTGTGCCAAGACAATATTCAGTACTACATACTGAAAATAACGTGAGTAGTGATACTGTTAATTATGATCTTATCCAAGATCTAGAAATTGAAGAGCTTACTCAAGAATTTGAAAAAGAAAAAGCGGAATATTTGGAAAAGAGTAAACATCTACACAAACATTTATTAGAGCTTAAAACCAAAATCGAAGTCTTTAAAGATGAAGATAATATTTCTTTCTTTCGTTGAAGAACTTAGAGGAAGAAGATACCAAGTGACATTTTGAAAAAGTGCAAAATTCAGGGTTTAAAAAACATATCAACTGTTTCTAAAGAACTTAATTTTTTTTATATAAAAATGATTAAATAAGACAATTTTTACTGAAAAAATGTTTTTTGTAAACAGAAACACAAAATGTTACTTAGCAACTAGATATTTAATTTCAGTCAAAATTAAGTGTTCTAGTTACCCTTGTTGACATTTTATAATGTTACTATTGTTGAAGTTTTACTACTCTAGCTATCGTGCCAAAGAAATATTTGTAAATAGTTTGATATATTAATATATATATATAGAAAGAGAGCTATTATTTTTCAAAGTATATTTTGGAGAATATACTTAAAACTGAATTGTGATCGAAAAAAATTTGTCATTTAAATTATACCCTTTTATTCAAAACAGCGTGAATAAAAATCAGGTTTTTCCATACAGACAAATAGTCTTCTCGATGTTATGCTTAAGATCAACACGGTTTAGTGTCAAATCTCATTACTTAATATTAAATTTGTTGTACTTGTTTATGTTATTTCTAGCTACCTACTTAAAATCTTTATTTACAGGCATGTGAAATAAACCCAAAAATTTTGAAACTTTTACAATATGCATTTATTCCAATTATTTTAGTTATTATTTTACTTGTTTTAATTCTTAAATTTTTTAAATGTGTAAAGTTATCATTGTGATGTGTGCCACTGTGATTATAGATCCCGGTGGCAGAATTGCGGCGAAATAGGCGCAGAACGATAAAGAGTTTTTGCAGAAGAAGTTTTTATTTGGGAAGGGAAAATTTTTGGCTTTCCTTTCTGTATAATTTGAAAGAGGAAATAATTAGTGCGTTTTTCCGCCTTACAAAATGCAAGAAAGCGCCTATAATATTAAAATTTAAAAAAATATTACTTTTACAATTAAAAATTTTTATTCTATACTTTATGTTGTAAATACAACGTTTCTGATACTTCAAATTAGTAATTATTATAATTAAAAGTATCTTAAAGAAAAATATTAATGGTAGGGAAGTTGTCGTAAAAAGCTCGAAAAAATTCTGCCTCAGGGTTATGAATCATATGCTACTGTTCTTTTGTTGAACTACAACTTGGTACTTTTCCATTTCACTGATGCATGCAATATAGTCGCCAATGCAAACTTATTAGGTGTAAGTAAATTCAACCGTTCTTTTATTTTTTATATTTAAGTAAATTCAACTGTTTTATTTGATGTTTATTTAAATTTTTTTTAAATAAGTAGATAAAATAGTCAAAATTACTTGCGATGGCAAAATGGAAGAGTACCAATTCTCAATCTATTAATATTATTGAGTTATTTCATTATACAATTCATATTATTGAGTTATTTCTTCTTATAATTGAATGACTCTTCAGTGTATTTCATTAAACTGTCATCAATCAATTTCTTCGATGGATTATTTACTGTCCAATTTTTAAAATTAGTTATACACTGAATTTTATGTTTCATAATTTTTGAGTGTTGCATAATTTTATTGGAGTAATAAGAAAGCATTATAAGGAATTATAAGAAAGCATTTATTAGCAATACATTATGTGACAAATAATTTTATCAACAATTTTTTGAATATTTTTTTTAAAAAAAGTTAATTGTAACACATTTAGCAAAAAACCAGAATAAAAAATAATTATGACAAATACTAATTACATTAATTAAAAAATATNCATTTGGGAAGGGAAAAATTTTGGCTTTCCTTTCTGTATAATTTGAAAGAGGAAATAATTAGTGCGTTTTTCCGCCTTACAAAATGCAAGAAAGCGTCTTAAATATTAAAATTTAAAAAAATATTACTTTTACAATTAAAAATTTTTATTCTCTACTTTCTGTTGTAAATACAACGTTTCTGATACTTCAAATTAGTAATTATTATAATTAAAATTATCTTAAAGAAAAATATTAATGGTAGGGAAGTTGTCGTAAAAAGCTCGAAAAAATTCTGCCACAGGGTTATGAATCATATGCTACTGTTCTTTTGTTGAACTACAACTTGGTACTTTTTCATTTCACCGTTGCATGCAATATAGTCGCCAATGCAAACTTATTTGGTGTAAGTAAATTCAATCGTTCTTTTATTTTTTATATTTAAGTAAATTCAACTGTTTTATTTGATGTTTATTTAAATTTTTTTTAAATAAGTAGATAAAATAGTCAAAATTACTTGCGATGGCAAAATGGAAGAGTACCAATTCTCAATCTATTAATATTATTGAGTTATTTCATTATACAATTCATATTATTGAGTTATTTCTTCTTATAATTGAATGACTCTTAAGTGTATTTCATTAAACTGTCATCAATCAATTTCTTTGATGGATTTTTTACTGTCCAATTTTTAAAATTAGTTATACACTGAATTTTATGTTTCATAATTTTATTGGAGTAATAAGAAAGCATTATAAGGAATTTTAAGAAAGCATTTATTAGCAATACATTATGTGACAAAAAATGTTATCAACAATTTTTTTGAATATTTTTTATAAAAAAAGTTAATTGTAACATATTTAGCAAAAAACCAGAATAAAAAATAATTATGACAAATACTAATTACATTAATTAAAAAATATTATTTGATAGGCATTCTTTTAAAGACTGTATTAAAATGATAATATTTTTTAAAAGCTTTCTATAGAATGATTAAATAACTTTTATACAACTAATAAATAAGTAGTGAATATTCTTTTCAAATGGTAAAAAGTGGTTTCGATTAATAATTGCAAATTTGAAGTAATCACAACTACATCAATAAACCTTATTTTTGTATCAGTGAAAACAGAGTAGTAAGAAGTCAAGAGTAGTAAAAATGGTAATTAAAGTGCTAAAAAACACATTGCTAAAATTTAATTAACTTTCCACAACAAGTTTTAATATTTTTTTTATTTATTTAAATCACAAAAAATATGATTAATTTCATACTTGTAGAAGAGAATTAAAAAAATTTAGTGTAAATGAAGATTTATCAATTTGTACAGAGGAAAATATTTAATTTTAAGGTTATTGAATTAATTTATGTTAATTTTTAATACAATATAATTATACAATTTTAAGTACAAAGTAATTGATACACTAATTGATAATTTAGAAAAATGCTAGACAAACAGTAAAAGTAACTTAGAAATAAATATGATACTAATAATATCAAAATGTATATGAAAACATAGAGCATTTTTAAAAAAATGAAGTCAAATATCACATCAGTTTAAGAGTAAGAAAATACAGGGTATCCGAGCACCTGGAAAGTAATGAATTTTGGTATTGAACAAAATTTGTCGTGAAATGTCATGATTTTAACTATTTTTTTTAAAAAAAAGTCATGAATTTAGGTGGCCAAAAAATTTAATTATTAAACTGGAATTTATCCCTCCCCCAAATTCTTGGTGTTCCAAATATCTGAATTTGTAACAAACACAGTCCTATTTTATTAAAATATAAAATGTTTTTATCATGTTCTTTAAAAATTCTGTTCTTTCAAAAAGTGAAAAATAAAATAAAAAAAATTCATTTCTAGAGCAAATTATCTTTTTAACTTCTGTGATTTCAAAATTTTTATTATTTATTTTAACATTTTAAAATTCTAGCTGAAGCAAGCCAGTGATTGGCGAATTATTTTTTTTCGAAATGAGAACGGAAAAATCAGAAATATTTCTTTCCTTTCCCTTGAACAAGAAAAGTATCTTAAGAATATAAATTCTGCCGAAAAAAGAAAAAAAATTACTTTTGAGCTATTTTATTGCTTCAAATCTTTCTTTCCTCTGTTTTTTAAATTAAAAATCTATAAATATAAAGATGCAGAGTATAACAGTTTTGGTTACACCTATAATTTCAGTTAATGTTATTATGATGCTTTTTTAAATTTACTATTGTGTTTTTATGGGAAAAAATAGTAGCTTCGTAAAATCATGCATTTGAAAATCTAAAATGTAGCAGATACCCTGAAAATTTTAACAATGCAATTATTAGTGAAGTTACTCATTTCAATTATGAATTTTTAGGTTAGTAAAAGCAAAATATTAAAAAACAAATTATTACCGAAAACCAAATTATTACCAAAAAAAACAGATACTATTTTTATTTTAACTTCCATTGTTTTATAGTTTTTACAGCTATGTTTAATTCAGCTTAATACAGCTATTTTTTTTAATTATTCACTTTTTTTTGTCAGAATTTAGTCTCAACATTTTTGTGTCTTATTTAGCTAAATATTTAATTAAGCTTCTATTTATAAAAATGTATATTAAAACGGAAATATACAAATATTATAAATTATGCAGGTTATAGAAAATTATAACTTCTTTCAAATAAATAAACTTAAGCCCTAGTTTGCAAAGAGTATAAATTCTTTTTTTTTTTAATTTCTAAGATTGTTCTATAATTATTTACAAACTATACGTGTTCAAAATGATTTGTTCTTCAAAATGTTTACTGTTATCTCTAATTTAAATTTTTTTAATTAGATTTATAACAATGTCTAGATTTTTAATATTAAATTTGATACATATTTTTTTATATATATAAAGAATAAAAAATATTTGAACTTTTCATTACAGGATAAAAATTATAAATTTAAAAAGAAAAAAGAATATATATATGCAAAGAGTACTTTTTAAAAGAAAAAATTTTACATATAATATGATCTTTTGAACTAGTTTCTGTTCAAATTCATTATGGAATTAAGCTATCATTACTTGAAACTGAAGAAACTTTCAAATTTTTATTAAAGGATTTTTAATTCTTTGTCACATGTTGAGCACTAAGTTCACAGTTTTTAGTTAACTGTAATTGACATTTTTCTTCTTCTTTTAGTACTATATTTGATATAAAAAAATTGTAAAAGAACTAACTTTTGCCCAATCAACCTGAAAGCATTTAATTTTATGTAGCATTGAAATATTTTTCAGAAATTAGGATGCTGCTACACTCTTTCAGAACAGAACCTTTTTAGAATAAATGTAAAATCGTTACATGTAACTTCTTTTGATTACATAAATTTGAAGAAACTAAAACAAAAAATAACATTTAATAAAATTTATTTATTAAAAGTTACATTAAAAAAAAAACATTTCAATTAGCTATAACAATTATATTTCTAATTATCTTTAAAAAAAAAGAATAGGTGGTGATTATTTACTATAACATACAACTAGATTTTCAATATGTCCAGATTTGAATGGCTTTAAAATGTTCCTAAAAAGGCCTGCAATTTAACTACAGGTTAAGTGTGAAATCCCTGTTTAAAGAATAACATATTGATTATTTAAGAGATAATTATTTATTATATTTTCCACTAATTTACATTTTTATTAGAATTGATTTATTCTCTTAACCACAATCTTGTGATGTAAATGTATTTTTATTTACATGCCGCCCGGTTGTCTGGTGATCAAGGAGCTGACCTTATGTCAAAAAAGGTCCCATGATTGAATCCCCCTTAGGGCACAGATGTAGTTTCTCTGTCTGTTGTGTCTTTCTTATGTTGTTATGGTGGTGTTGATCCACTTATAAAGTGCCCACAAAAAAGACAACAAAAGTATTGCCCATTAAGTACCAGGAGGACATATGATTGCCAAATGTGTGGTAGACATTCAAAATATAAAGAAAATATACATATAAAACAAAAGTACATGTTGACAAATTCTTCTCTACTACTGTGTCACTCACACACAGACTAAAATTAAAGGGGTTTTTTTGTATATAAAAAAAAGACTTTTAGAAAATTATTCTTGTTTCAACATTATTTAAGTTTTATTCCCAAAGAAAGTTAACATGAAAATGTTTCTTATTCCTTCAAATCTATTAACAACAAATGAAATGAATTTTATTTAACACATTTTTAAATCAATGAAAAACTTCAAATGAAACACTCGCTTTTTTTTTTAAACTGATATATTACGAACATGTCATAGCATATAAAATATCTATAAGTATGAAGCCTAATTTTATAGTATTTCTCTGTTTCCAAGCTCCTGTAACAACATACTTTGTTCAAAATGAACCCAAGATAAATCATAAGAACCATTAACAAAGAATAACTGTCACAAAAAATAATTTTAACAATTCACTTTTAAATCTATAAGTGATAGCAAATTTTTTGAGTAAATTCTGTAAAATTGTTTGTCTCTCTTATGTGCAGAGAGACCAGTAGGTAGTACGTAGCAATAGGTAATAGCAAAAACAATATGTAGTACGTAGTAGTAAAATCCGAAAATTATATCAAAAATAATTTTAACATTCTTTGAATGTTATGCATTATTTAAGTAGTATTACAGTAAGTAGTATAGTTTTTACTGTGTATAATTAGATTATCTTTATAAAAATAACAATCAACTTTACAAATTAACAATCAACAAGTCTCACTTTGTAAGAAGACCAATTTCACATAAGAATATTATTGGGTGTCAAAAGTGATAAATAGTGAAATACATGTTATATAAAAAGCATTTTGATCACTCTTTAAAAACTAAAGACTATTGCATTTCAGTAGATCTTTACAAAATCTACATATAATTAAACATTACATTAAGTAGATCTACATTAAGTAAATCTTTACAAAATAGTAATTTTATCAAGTTTTTATTGTCATTCTTAAAAAGAAATCTATGCAGAAATTCAGAAAAAGAAATCTATCATGAAATTCAGATAAAAATGTACTCAAATTTTTTATTCTTGATAAAAAAAAAAACTTTTAATAAAAAGTAAATTTGATTAAGAAAAGAAAATAATCAAAAATAAAATTTAAAAAAATAACTTTACATACTAAATTTTTTTTTAACTTTAAATGAAAAAAATATACAACAATTTTCAGAGAAACAAAAATTAGGATAATTAGAAACACAACTCTTATTTTCTAGGTAAATAATTGCCACAACTTTTGTTGATATTCAAAGCCAGGAAAGGGGTTTAATCAGTTTTATTACGTAACAAGCACAGTTGTTTCTGTGTTAAAAGGAGCAACGAACTTCAGAACTAGAATAATCTTAGTTTGGAAAAAAGTTGCTGATAATATCTATGTTTGACTATAAGATTAGTTAACTTCACTGTGATGACTGATTGCTTATTGGACGGCAACAATAGAAAGAATTAACCCCTGATTTTTTAAGCTCAGCACGCTCTTATCTACTTTTAAGAGTCTAAATTAGTGACCTTTAAAGCAGCTAAAATTTGAGCAAGAGTATCAGGAGTAACATTTTGTAATGGTATCACAATATTTGGAACTGTTGGGCTTGCTTGTTCGTGCAAGGAAGCTCTGGAACATGCTTGTTTACATTGAGATGCTCTGGAGCATGCCGGATCACATGAAGGAGCATAATTTACGCAGTGAAAACAACCATGAAGGGGACAATTTGGAGAGAGAAGACACACACACCCACGCAATTTTTGACACCTACAGCATTGGTGGCAACTGCTTTGGGATAAGCAGCACGAAGGTAATTGTGGTTGACAACACGAGGAAGATTGAAATTCCTCCGCCTCCAATTTTGAATTTTCATTTTCTGCATTTTCACTTAAATTAGGAGGACCATTTGATATACTTGAAGTTTTACTGAGGTTGAAGAGATCATTACTAACAGCATTTTTGCATGATGAATTGGCCTTACATAGATGACTATGACAGGGCGCTATTGCTATGTTTCTTCTGAGAGTAGTATCATTTTGATTTAGACTGGTTATTTGATCAAACTCACTGATGAGTGATTTAATTCTGTTAGTCAAAAGTCGAATCTCAGAAGAATTAGTTGCATCATTATTTTTTACGTTAGTGTTACTATAAACAGATTTTTGTAACCTTTGAGAAACGGAAGCAGTTTGCTCAAACTTATCATTTTTTTGGTGCTTTAAAGAACTTCGACAAGCATTTATACTAGAACAGCTCGAGGTCTTGTCATCATCCATAAAATCAAATCCATTTTTTATAGGGCCAGAGTTATAGGGCTCATTAATTAGTCCTTTCCCAGTTAGTGTTAAACCAACAGACTCTGTATTAAAACCTTCATTCAAACCCAAAGAGGAACTTGTTGTAGTATTTAAAGTTGATGCCCTCAACACACTGGAATAAAGAGGAGTGTTTAAAAGATCTTTGCTATTGTTCATATTACTAGACTGCATAGTGACATTCTGTAACTTTTTCATTTTTCGTTTCCTAGTTCTAGATTTTGTTTTCAAAGAAGTTAGAGAATCATCTGAAACTAAAGCACTATTTAAGGATTCAGAAGTAGATTTTACTTGCTGATTCTGCATTGACTTGCTATTCAATTCTGCAATTTCTAATGAAGAAATTTCTTTAGTAAAATATCCTTCAGAATTATTAGCAGATACATATTCAGAAGTCAAAAATGGAAATTTAAAAATATCTCTATTCGGTTCGGTTGGAGAATCAATGATAGGTTGATGAGCATAAGTTGACAAATCTCCATTTCGTTTAATTGGTTCTATTCTATCAGATGAGTGTTGTATGGCACTTGTCAAATCTTTAGTTCGTGGTACTGGACTTTTTATAAGAGGATGGTGAGTATTATTAAACTCATTTTGGCTACTCATAAATGAATGATGAGCAATATTTGACAAATCTCCATCTATTTCAGCTAGATTACTAAGAGATTGAAGAGGAGCAACATTTGGCACATTTTTATTTGATGCAATTCGACTCTTTATGAAAGTATTATCAGTGATATTTGGCAAATCATCTAAAACTGATTGGCATCTGACATCAGGATTTGGTATTACAGACTTGGGTTTATGGCCAAATCCATTATCATTTACCATTTCAGTTCGTTGGTCCTGAATATTATTTTTATCTCCAATTTTCTCTGGAAATGTATCAAAAGAAAGCGGACTTGCTGAGCAACTTTCATCAGAAGCCAGTTTATCTTTTGTAATAGAGAGATCAGAAAATGATTTAAATAATATAGGTGCAATATTTAATTTTGAAAGGGTGTTCTGATCATAATCTATTGTCTCACAAATATCAGATAAAATTGACTCAATATCTTGCTCCATAAAAGCATTCATTTCCAAATTTGTAGATGGTTCAGACAATTTCACATTTGAATTTGCATTGTTTTCTAGATCTTTGTCACATTTTCTACTACTGAAAACACTGTATAAAGTAATAAGTTTATCAGGCCAGGCATTGTGAATTACATCACTGATATCTCTTTTACTGGAAATGCAAGCTATGCTTTTGCATTGGTCATCACTACTAAAAGTTTTTTCAACATTTTCAGCAATGACAGAATATTGGGTTGTTCCAACAGAAGAAGGAAAAACATCAGTATTATTATTATTATTAAACAAAGTACTTGTTTGGAGCAAATTACTCAAATTCGTTGGCCATAAATCTGGCACAGTTAAATTCAATGCTGCCTTCTCCCATACAAAAAAACATCCTTGTGCCATTACAGTTGGAAGACACCTATAAGTTTCTTTAAGAGATTCAGGAAATTTGAATTTTTCCTCAATCTGAAAGTTATTAAATACAGGAGCATAAATTAATTTACCTGGTGTCTGATTTAGAGTTTCAAACATGGCTGAAACACTTGGTTTAGTATCAATGCAAAATAAGTAGCTCTTTATTTTCATTGCAGCAATTATATTCTGAAATATAGAAACATAAGTATATTATTTTAAATTAAATAAAAATACAAGTGTCATACATGTAAAAAATACTAACTTATTTTAAATCATATATTAGTTTTGGGTTAGATATATATATATATATATATATATATGTAACATAAAAAGCCTTTTATTAATCTTTTTATGTTAGTTTCTTTGCTATAAAACAACTCCTACTTTATTACTAATTAATTATTCTATTTGAAATACTTTCTCACACTTTTAAAAGCCACATCCTGTTTCTAAATCTATTTTTAGCCAAAGTATGCATACATTTAAATAAAGATCTTTTTTCCCTTTTAAGCCGTGGGAATCACTCGAGCAAGTTCATTAACCAATTGTAATTTCTGAGTTTTCTCTCTTTTCCCTAAATAGAGACATTTTAGGATTTTTTGCAAGATTTTCCCTACCAGAAAGACTGTTTGCTGATGGAGTGAACATCACTTCTTCGCTCCCACTCAACTAAGAATGATCAAATAAAAGTTTCTCTGATTTAATTAAAATCCTGTGTCTGTTTCCCTGCTCGGTCCGACTGCATCATTTTACATATATATATATACAGTAGAGCGCCAATTATCCGAACTGCTCGAGATCGAACATGGTTCGGATAATGAAAAATTCGGATAATTGGAAAGTTGTTTAAAATCTAGTGTAAATGATTATTATTTATGCATTAACTTCCCTTTGCACCTTTTGTAGGCTCAGGACTGGCAGTACTATCTAAAATAGCTCAGGCGGGTTAAATTTTTTTTTTCCTTTTTCAATTTTTAAATATTTGTATATTTATATATTTGTAATAATATTTCATTTTGAATTATTTTTAGCATATTTCAGTTTTTTATAATTTTTTTGTCAATTACTGATTTTGAAACATTTTTCATTCTTTTCCATTGCAAAAGAAATCCAGCAAAGATCTCTCAAAGAAGACACGTTTTTTTAGCAGCCATTTATCCCTTATTCTTTTTAAATAAATCAACATCATTATGAAGTTCTAGTCAATTCATTGCGAAATCTAATGGATTGCATGCTTCTATATGAGAAGGTTCACTATCTTGAACTTGATCACCTACTTCTTTCACTTCGTCTGTAGAGTTCCGATTTTCATTCAAAATTTCAGCAACAATTTCATCATTTTCATCCGAAAGATCTACTGGTTCAGAAACTTCAGTTTCGTTTGTTTTTCTGTTAAGAATTTTATTCCAAGATTTAAGATTCCAAGCACTATAATCACTAATTATTAACCGTAAGTTACAACTATCCATTNTTTAAAAAAAAAAAAAAATATTTTCTGCAGAATTATATTCTAAAGATTCTTTTCTTGTTCATCGGAAAGGAAAGCATTACTCCTGATTTTTCTGTTCTCATTTCAGAATGAAAAAATTTTGCCAATGACTATTTGCTTCAGCTATGATTTTAAATTGATAAAATAAAATAAATAAATAAAAAAAAAAATTCTGAAATCACAGAAGTTTAAAAGATAATTCTTTCATTCATTTTTTGAAGAAACACTATAATTTTTAAACAACATGATAAAAACACTTTATATTATAATAAAATATGACTGTGAGTGGGGATTTTGTTTCTAATTCAGATATTCTGAATACCATGAAATTGGGAGGGATAAATTCCATTTTAAATATTAGATTTTTCAGCGACCTAAATCCATGACTTTGCATGATTTATTTTAAAAAAATCGATAAAATCATGTCAAATTTTGTTCAATACCGAAATCTATAACTTTCCAGGTGCACAGACACCCTATACTTACTTATTTTAAATCATATATTAGTATTGGGTTAGTACAGTTTCTCTCTTAATTTTCAAATAGATTAAAAACCCTTAAGTATGGAAACTATATGGAACTGAATCAAAAAAGAAAAGCGCAAAGAAAGCGCCATGGAAATTTTAAAAAAACATTTGTAACAAAACCTAGACATACACGCTAACTTCCATTTGAACACGCCTACTTGGATGTATGGTCCACCTCAGACTGTTGCTTCTAAGTCTCATTTACACACAACGGGATCCTGTACACACTCGACTGCTAATAACAACACAAGAGGGACCACACACACAACCGTGATCTTAATACAGCTCTCACAACAAATGCTCAAAACTCGGTAAACCTACAATGCAGCTCCCCCAATCTTGCACAAATACGGCAAAATTCTGGTGGTGGAGCATTGTAGCGTAACTACCACTATGATTATTAAATACCAATTCACTAATATATAAGACATGTGCATGGATTCAATGGTGGGGTACCTTTTAATAGATGAAGGTTGCCGTAGTCTAAACATCCATTCCCCACAACATGATCTGACCATCGATTATGTACTCATAATAGATTAAAAAGTTTTTCTCTGCATCCTGGTAACTCAAGTACTTGTTTTACTATACAGACCTAAACCTAATGTCTAAATAAATTCAAAGAGCATTTCAACAAAAAATTGCAATGAAATTTTTATTTCATTATATTCTTATAAAATTTTTTATTATATTTTCATATTATCATTACAGGATAAAATTTCTCTATCTGTACCTACGCCAAAACAATCGCTGATTTTTAGCGATTTCTTCGGTAAAAAAACTACTAAAAAAATTAACACAGAAGTGTATCAACCTCTGAATGGCATAACTCTTAGCCCCATTTCAAAGGCAAACCACATATTTTATTAAAATATATTTGCAAATTTAAAATCTCAGAAGTGCCTCGGTGATTGTAGTTGGTGCGAAGAGGTACATATGGGGAAAGCATATTTAACACAGATAACATAATCATAAGTAATTTTTTCTGAATTTATACATAAAACAAATTTTCTTTAAAAGTCTGATTTGATCTGCCTTGGCACCAACAACTTTTTTAACGTTTTAAGTTAATTTAGATTTTTTTTAATAAATAAAATAAAGTAATAAAATTGCTATACCTGAAAATAAACCTTTCTTTCTTCAAATTCATTCGGTTTTGAAAAGTTCAGAGTCTTCACCATGAAAACAATATCAGCATTTCCTACTAGAACTTTATGCTTAACATTAAATAACACATTGGGATTATGGTTAATACTGTAAGTGTTAGGAAGAGAAGAAATTGGAAATGGTAGAAATCCCGTTTTTAGAGATTCCACCAACGACTGCAATGCATGTTTCCACTGAGCTGTGTTAGAAATCACTGTCAGATTCTGAAAGGAAGGCATAAAACTTATGTGAAAACTGTTAGAGAGAGCCAAGCAAAAAGACAAATAATCAAGAGCTGGACCTAAAGTAAATGAGATAAAATTCAAATTTTTACGATCTTTCAATTTTAGAATCACATCCTTTGCAAGAGGACAATTAATCAAATATTTGTCAACACAATCTTTGATAAAACTAATGATGCAGGGAGCATTTTTATACATGAAAGCACATCTGTCATAAGGATTCTCAAATGAATTATTATACATATTTAATTCAGAGATTTTGCGAACAACTTCTTGAAAATCAAGATTAAATTTCTTCTTTTCCTCTTGGCTAATGTTTGAACAAAGTGAAAAATACTCCATCGTAAAACAAAAATTTAAATTACATCAAGTAGGGCAGAGTAAAATTCATCCTTGCATGTTCTTAAATTCCTGAAAGCAAATAAATAAATAGAATTAATATCATGATTTGTAAGCATGTTTCAACAATAAACAAATTTTAAAATAAATATGAACAAAAATGATCTGATGGAAAAAATTTCTTTTAGAATCCAGGAGCAAAAAGTCTACGCGACACCAAATATCAATTGACAATCGTGGGAGCAATTATGAGTAAAAAAAAAAATGAATTTATGAAAATTATTCACGAAAATTTTTTTTATGACTAGCTCAATATAAAATTATTCAGAAGGATTATTCACATGAAAATTTAGTCATGACTAATTTCTCTGAATAAAATTTTAAATAACCAGAGAAAAATGCAAGCATCACGTAATAGTCAGATGTCATTCCAGCTTGCACTTCAATTACAGCAGCAGATTACAAATGTAATTTGAAACAGATAATTATTGATTAGTAATCAACAGCTTGTAATCATGATTACAAGTAATCACAGCAAGAAATAATTATAATTTCTTACTTTAAACCATTATGATTATTTGAAATCTCTATAAGAAGGAATTACAGGTAATCAGGATTACAAATAATCAAGCCCTGAGATTGTAAGCCATTGCAACTACTTGCAATTATAAATTACGATAACAAGAAATTATATTTCTAAGTACAGTAGAGAACCGATTATCCAGAACGATCGGGACAATCGCTATTCCGGATAACTGATTTTTCNAAATCATATTTCTAAGTAAATATAATCTAACATTTACAGATATTCTTAAATGTTGAAATATATATAATTACAGAGTGATTAGGTGTAATAACAAGTGGGCTTGTTTATATTTTAATCAGGATTGTAGGTAATTGTTGGTAAACTTTTATAACAATACATAAATTTTATATGTAAATGAACTGTTTGGTTTATTAAATGAAAAATTTTAAACATAGAATTACACACAAACATATGTACATAAATGCACTGCACATACAAATACACATAGCATCTACTTTCATAAATGGGTACCCACAGTGTATGAATATGCCTGCATGCATACATTGGTACAGTGTATGCACCAGAATTGGGCAAAAATGTAATCGATTACATTTCTCTTATACAGCAACCAAATACTCGTTTATGCGTCATATTTATGATTACGACGCATAATAATTTTAATTACAGTTTTAATCGTGATTAAAATAGTCAATTACACTAATCAATTATATGTATTTATGATTACAACATGCCATAATTTTCAGTACAACTGTAATCATAACAAAGTACCCTGAATAACTTTTGGTCAAACGATCAGATTTTTAAGTTCAGGGACTCAAACTTAATGGTTCAAGAGATTGACCTCAGATATGTTAATTAATTAGTACAAGTGATATTTTTAATTACGAAATTCGTCAGAAAAACATACATTCTTTGAATAAACGTGCTTTTTCTTTTCATCAGATGCGGATTAAAGACCCCAAAATATAGGAGATAGCTTTAATATGGGAAATATAGCGCACATAGTTTGATCAAGAGAGCGGTCCAAAGTTTGGATTCCTTAATCAAAATTTTAATTTTTATGAATTTCACTATATTTTGAGAATTCTTTAAGGGAATGAAGAAAAAAAAATTGCGCCTAAATATGAAATTTGTATATCAAAATATAACCCTAATACATGCCCAATTTTAAACCTTACAATTCAAAACATTTTCAACTGTTAGTAAATAAAATAATAAAAACACAATAAATATTTACATATCACTAATAATTTTATTTTAAATTCCCAAATATAATTTCAACATATAAAATTAAAAGTTTTTTTGACATCAAAGAAATTTCTATGGATGGTGTTTTCTACACTAGGGAACGCTGCAAGTTCGGTAGTGCCTAAATTTCCTGGTTACTGTTTCCGTTGTATTTTTGGCATCATTGTGTTTTGAGATTCTTGCAAACAATGTATTTGATTACTTATTACTTATGTTTACAATGCTAACAATACTGGTGTTTACAATGCTAAAAGCGTTAACACTAACGTAAGATGGTGCACAGCTTGCAACAAGAACAAACAGTAATAAACTTATGGAAAGAGGCCATATCAAGACTGCCAAAAAAGCAAGTTATTCAAAATCCAGCAATCATGTCACCTTTTTTAACAATATATCTCTAAAAAACTAAAACAAATTTTCACTTCAAACTCACCAGAATTACATATTAACATTAATATCTTATGAAATATGGCAGATTTGAGCTCAGAAATTATCAAATTTATTTCTTTTATTGAAAACAAAATTATCCGTTTGAAAACATCGCCTATGTTTCAATTAACTT